GTATGTATGTATATGGGTAGTGATTTCAAGCGACGGTTGTATAGTAATATAATGCAACAATCTTCAAAAACTATGAGAGGGGCATTTGTTTGATCATAATTTTAAAATATACTTTCTTTTCATTCTAATGAATAATCACAATAAAGAAAAATTTGAAAACACAATCTAGAAAGTATTTTTTTGACCCTTTTAACATAGGCCGTGCATTCTGATAAGATGATTCGATCTAGGCCATAAAAGGATTTTCTCCTTTCCAATTTTTTTTGATGGCTTTATAATAATAAAATTTTAAATCAGTACTATTTTCAATCCATAGAAATTTGTGTCTTTTTTTAAAATTCTTATTCAATAATTTACATCTTATTGAGACTTATATATACTAGTTTTAAATCATTTATAATTAAAATTATAAATATTTAAAAGTAAGTAAAGAAAGAAAGCTTGATTAATTATAAATGATTTAAAAATAAATAAAGAAAGGAAGCTTGCTTTCTACTATTTTATCTTTCGGTCTAATCTATTGTTGTGGTGTCGGTGTTATTTCATTATACATGATTATTTTGTATATTTAATAGTAACTATAAATAAAATAAATATATTATATTATATATTATTAAATAATATCTATAAATAAAATAAATATTTTATTTATTCAATCAGATAATGCTAATGATAATAATGGTGGTGATGGTGATTCATATTAACAATCATTTTTAAATTAAATTATACCACGTCCAACGCATGTGCATAACACTAGTATTTTCTAAAATGCACCCATAAGGACACATTGTAGATTTGGTCCATCAAGAGAACTATCTACCAATAGTATTTCATGTAAATATGGGGATCTATTTCTAGATGTGTATTTAAAGAAAATAAATATATTTTGAGTTCTTCGTAAAAGTTTGTTGTGAGAGATCATAAAATCAACTTTTATATTATTTTGTTGCCATTAGTTCCATTGGACCTATCTAATTAACCTATATTGTATGCTATTGATAGATGGACAGGTGGGCACACTTCGCTTTCTCATGCTAATTCTTCCCATGGGAACTTGAGTTACTAATCGTTATTCTCCATCCTTACCAAATTCCAAATCTAATTTGAATTTTTTGATGGACATCTAGTCACTTGCTCATGTTTTATATATAGAAAATATATTAGGTAAAATTACAAAGGTCGTCAACCCACTTTTTTTATATTTTTCCAAAATTGCCCACGATCAACTTGGATTTTGATTTTTCGTTTGTAGGACAGTGCCCCAAGCTTTATGGCACTGCCCTACTAATAGAAAGCCAAAATATATATAAAAAATCAAAATTCAAGTTGACTGAGGGGCAGTTTTGAAAGAAAAAAGAGGGTTGACGTGAGCATTTGTATTTTATCTGAAACTTTAGTGTCTCCAATGAATCACTCAGAAAAGAATTCTCGAATGGCTACCATTCAACGTCTTATGGCTACTAGCAATGATGACTTCTTTGTAACAACAATAATGATCTCATAGCAATGGCAATTCATTCGCGAGTGGATTCTGAGGGAATAAGTATACAATATGCTCCTGTGAGATCATTTATAGTGATACTTCTTACTGTTCTTTTATATTCGCCCGAGTCAACCACCCATCTCTTTTTTTTTGTAACAGTAACAACTTTATTCCAATCTTAACAGTCACTTCTTAGTTCTCACAATTACAATTGTCACAGTGGCTCACTTATTCAAAATCTCTCTCTCTCTCTCTTTCTCTCTTAACACTCTGATTGCAAACTTAGGGTTTTCGTTTTTGGGCCATCGAGGAGAAAGGATCATGAGCGGTTGAATTTTGTAGTTTTGAGAGTTTTTGGATTTGAAATTCGGTTTTTTTAGGCAATAGAGAAGACATCGTTTGTAGGTTGTTAAGGTTTCAAGTATTTAGAGCCCTTGGGATCAGGAATTGGTTTTCCTTTTTGGGGAAGAAAACATTATTGGCTTCTTGAAATTTTCGAGCTCTGAGAGTTGGCTGGAATAGTGATAGTCTTTCTCTTGTTTGGGTAACAGGGTTATAAAAGTTTAGTTCTTCAGATTTTATACAATATTTTTGTTTTTTTTTGGGTTTTTGAGTAGGATGGATAAAGGTGGTTGGATGCACCCTCAAGGCTAGGGTGATGTCGTTCTAACGGATGCTAACGATTGGAGGACAGAGCTTTCAGCTGATCTTAGGCAGAGGATTGTGAATAAGATGTCAGCCCTCTCTCTCTCTCTTTATATATATATATATATATATATATATATATATATTAGTAGGTGTAATTTCTTGTTTCATTGTTTATTTTTGTAGTCTTCTGCATTCCCAATTTGATATTGCCTGGGGACAAATACCAAGGTGGATCGCACGTTCTGCTAGCCCAAGAGATAATATTTTTGGAGTCGCCTTCCACTATCAGAGTTAAAGCCCAGGATGGGTTGAATTTTTTCAAAGCTAGAAGGACGACTAGTGCTTCAGCATGGATAGAAAGTCCTTAAAGCCCAGGAATTGAGAGATAGAGAGGAGTACATTGCCCTCATGATCTCGATAAACTCCTCTTACCCCTGCTGGACCCGGGTTCCCCAAGGAGCAACCATCAAAGTTTAGCTTGATGGTTCCTTGAGAAGGTGGAAGCCAAAAGCTTGACCTACTAACCCTTTGTGGTTGATGATAAAGGATGTCACCCCAATGAGTGAAGAAGAAGGTCCGAGGAATTCCTATGAAGAATTTATGATTTGAAGCCCAGAACGTAACCAGGGTGGTTACCTTGGACAACAGAGCCTAAGTTTGAAGTTTGGAGCCACGGAAAATTCTGGAATTTCTTTTCAGCCACAACCCATATTGTAGCCATAACAGTCGCCTTCCACAGGATACGACCTGCCTTAGGCCAACAAGAATCAAAATTGCAGGTAAGGAGGGCTTTAATTGAGGGGGGGGTAACCCCACGTATTCCAAAAAGTTGCAGTACCCTTCCCCATAGGTCATAAGAGAAATCACAAAGAAGGAAAAGGTGATGGTTGCTTTCCTCCTCACATTCACACAGGGCACATCTATTCGGGATAGGGATCCTTCTTTTCTGTAGATTATCCACTGTGAGAAAGGTAGCCACTGGAAGGTCTGCACTTTTGGTGGAGCAATCGAAGACCAAATTTTAGAGAAGGGCACAAGGCTTTTATAGAAAGAGGCAACCGAGAACTTACCCGTGGGGTTCAGAGTCCAGACAAGTTCATCTCTTCCATGGGAGGGGAGAAAGAGAGAGTGGAGGGTCTGCGAGAGGCGCTGAAAATCAAATGTTTCCGATTCAGTTAGATTCCTTCTAAAAGTGGGATTCCAGACTCTACGTCCTCCTACGCTACAAAGCTCCTGGGCTATAGAAGAGTCCTAGTCTTGTGCAAGAGAGTAAAGGGACGGGAAGACGACACAAATCGGAGAAGGGCCTAACTAAAGGTCCTGCCAGAATTTAACCCTGGAGCCTTCTCTCAGAAGGAACCTAGTGTGGCTCTTGAAAGTGGCTAGCACTGTTAAAAGAGACTTCCAGATACCTGAACCATTATGCCTTTTTCAGTGATCCTGGTAGCCAGGATTGTATAAGGATATTGTACTTATGCTTAACCACCTAGGCCCACAGTGCAATTTTCCCAGAAGTGCGGCGTTGTGTTTGCGAATGACCTTAATCCCCAAGCCACCCTTGTCTTTAGGTTGGCAGACCTTATCCCAAGCTACAAGATGAAACTTCTTATCTTCCTGGCCAAAGGAAGTTCCTCATGAGTTGGTTGAGTCGATTGGCCACCTGCGCCGGCATATGGAAAAGCGTCATTAAGTAAATCGGGGAGTTAGCTAAGGTAGCTTTGATCAAGGTGTTTCTTTCCGAGAACAACAGGAACCTTCCTTTCCATCTTGCCAAGCGGCGATCAACCTTGTTAAGAACCGGGGACTAATGCCGCTTCTAGGCTTACCAAGCCCCAGTGGGAGCCCGAGGTAAGTGGTAGGGAGGACCTGGACTTTACATTCCCAAGCTGGAATGAGAGATCGATTTTCTTCAGCAGACAAGGCAACCCCCAACATACTGGATTCATCCATGTTTATCTTAAACCCAGTCGCCGTTTGGAAGCAACGGAGGAACCTTTTGAGGGTGTTAACTTCCTTTCGGGTGGCATCCAGGAATACGAGGGTATCGTCCGTGTACTAAAGGTGGGAAACTGTGGGCCCGTTCTTGCTGGTTTTAAAGCCTGAAAGGAGGCCAGCTTGGTAGACCCGAGAGTTGGATCGACTGAAGACTTTTGCTGCAATAACAAAAAGAAAGGGCGAGAGGGGGTCTCCTTGTCTGAACCCCCTCAAAGAGGGAAAAAAGCCAATTGGGGTTCCATTGATGAAGATAGAGAAATGGGGGATATGGAAGCAACCACTCATCCACTTTCTCCATCTCTCTCCGAAACCCATCCTAGTCATGGACTCATTCAGGACTGACCAGTCAACATGGTCTTAAAAGCCTTTTCCTAGTCAATTTTGAAGATGAGTCCTGGTCTCTTGGAAAGGTGTCTCGAGTGGACACACTCATGGGCCACTAAGGCCCCATCTAAGACTTGTCTGCCTTTGATGAAGGAACATTGAGAAAGAGAAACGATAGAAGGCAGGACATTTTTCAGCCTGGAAGCAACGACTTTAGCGAGGATCTTATAAGAAGAATTGAGAAGGCTGATTGGCTTGAAATCTTTAATTTCCTCTGCTCCTTCTTTCTTAGGGACAAGGGCAAGGAAAGTAGCATTCATGGCTTTGTTTAGGATACCCCTTTCAAAGAATTCATCAAAGAACTTTACAAAGTCAAGAGGAAGCGTATCCCAGAACTCCTTAAAGGGGGCAACCGGAAAGCCATCCGGCCCCGGGGCCTTGTCACTCCCTAACTCAATGATAGCTTTAAAGATCTCCTATTCTGAGAAGGGCCGCTCTAACCAGGCAACTTGGGTTACATTGAGAGTCAGGAAGTCAAGGGTCAAGAATCTAGGTCTAGGTTCAGGGGGAGCAGAGTACAAATTCTTGAAGAAATCAAGGATGGCTCGTTGAATTTCACAAGGTCGGGTCAAATAGGAATTGTTGACTTTCAGTATCGAGATGGCATTGTCTCTACAACGACAATTTGCAATCCAATGGAAAAAGCCAATGTTATTGTCCCCAGCTTTCAACCATGAGACCTTGGATCTCTGGGACCAGTAGATTTCTTCTTTTTTAACAGTAGCGAGATACTCCAACTTGGAGACCTAAGCGCCTGTCTAGAGTCATTTACAGATCTCGATTCTTCAATAGAGTCGAGATTCTTAATGGTTTCCAAAAGGGAAGCCTTCAAGTGCGAAAAATTAACAGGAAGCTTAGAGCTCCAAGCTTTGAAAGCAACTTTAAGAAGCAGAATTTTCTTTTGGAGGATGAAGCCCCCTCTCCCCGAGATCTGAGAATTAAAGGAGTTCCATCAGGTTAGATCCTTTTCTTGAAGCCAATGCATTTCAAATTTGAAAGGACGGGGACCCTTGGTAATAGCATTTGTGTCCAACAGTATAGGGCGATGGTCGGAGGTGGGCTTGGGAAGGGCCAAAGACGACGAAGTTGGGAATTGTTCCTCCCAATTGATCGAAACGAGAAATCTATCAAGTTTTGAGAGGGTGGGATTGATGCTATGGTTGGACCAAGTAAATTGGCATCCTTTGTGGGGGATGTCAAATAAAGCATTACCCCAAACTAGTAATACTCTAAGGATCAAAAATAAAGAAGAAATGGTTATCGATAATATCGAAAACCAGATACAAAACTGGAATTTACCTAAAGTCCCTATAAGTGATATTTATAAAAAAGGAACGTTTGAATTCAAAATAGGTTATGCTATTAAAACAGTTGAACAAAATTTGTCTGTAACAAGTACTCAAGAAGACTTCCAGTTATTAACTAATAAAAATACAATCGCATAAAAATAAAAGTTATAACTATCTTCATATAGGTTTAATACAAGTAGCTATTAAACCATTAACCAGGTTAGGACTCAATAACTCAATACTAGTATGTCTAAGAGATACTAGACATAATAAATTTAATGATTCCCTATTAGGTATGGTAGAATCTAGTCTATGTAGAGGTCCAGTATATTTTAATTGCTTCCCTAATTATTCTATATCTTTAAAGGATCCAAATATTCTTAAGGTATTGACCCTAAACCTAAAAACCCAAGGTTTTGATATGATTCCAGGATCCCAAAATATAGCCATAGTATATCGAATATATTATAAAGTGATGACTACATTATGTCCTAATGTTTTACAACATGATACAAAAGGAAAAACGGTATTCTTCCAAACCAATATCGAGAAATCTAATACTATCATACCAAAAACTATAGAATGGTCAGAAATTATCCTACCTGAATCTTGGTCAATCTATAATGAAAACCATCAATGCCAAACCCCAATAGTAAATATTATACCTGATAAAATTAGAGAAATCCTAATGGTAAAATAGAAATCCAATTTACTAATCATAGAGGACACAGGGCTAACGATGATTCTGAAATAAAACCATCTAATAATTCTATAATAGAATTACCAAGGAGTTCTACTTCATCTATACATCCAAAATTAGAAAGCTTATATAGAACAAGAGAAAATATTGTCATCCCACAATATAAGTCAACACAAAAATCTGAACCAGATTTAACTGACTCAGAAATGGATTTTCAAGTTAACTCTTCAAGAAGAGAAAAGGCTTAATAAACAATTTATTGAACAGGATTATTTGTCTGAAGAAAATAACGCAATTAGAACTTGGTATAAACAAAATTTTAAACCTAGATTAGTAGTATTATTCCATATAAAATATAACAAGGCACGAAAAAGAGAACACTATAATAAAGGATATTTTGTATGGTTAAGAGAAATATGTAAGGAGAAGAAAATTCATATTCCTAATTTTGAAGTAAATACACTACAAAGTCAATATAGTTCATATGATACAATAGATGGAAATACATTAACTAGTATCCATCCTCTTGAAAAAAGTATTGTTATAAAAGGATCAAATCCAGACTTAAAATTAGAAACAAAAGTTACACCATATAAGATGACTACAGGAGAAATAGTACAACAAAAAGCTGAATTAATTCCACATGTGATCGAACAAAATAATTACACTAATCTATATATGCAATCATTAGGAAGGCAGGCATTCAGAATTGAAAATA